TAAAAAATTAATAAAAGGTTAATATTGACTGTGTGGGACCGTTGCCAAAAAACTAAGACTGTAAATCGGTTTCTCTCACAATTAATGTGCATCCACCAGGTACCTCCGAAGCAGTTGCCTGCGGAAATCATGTATCCGGGTCACAGTCAGGGCTCTGGGTAAAGTTTTCTCATTGGTTGGGTCTGCCAAGGTCATCCCAAAGGATCAAGGTACCAACTTCAAGTCAAAGTCCTTTGCACACTCCTCTCCCACATTGAGATAAACCATGTCACTCTATCTTATCTCCCCGAGAGTCAAGGTGCACTCGAAAACTCCAATGAACCATGAACCCACTAAACATCCGACGTCCACTCAACCCCAGATCACGTCATTATCGCGTCGGTCGGGTTCGGACCTTTTATTTACGTCCAAACGACGTCTGTCAAGGTGCGCATCTGGACGGTAAAACAATGACCGCCCTAGTGACGTGATAGACGTCCAATCCCACCTCCTCTAGACTTGGAAAACGGTCAATCGGCCTCCCGACGCAGTACGGTCTTGATCTAGCAATACAATTATATAGGCGTGGTAAGGCAATCTAGGTGTACCTGAACGGTAGCGTAGTGATTAAGCAAATGTGTGCAGCCTTGGATACGTGTGTTTCAAGGTCCACGGTGTGTATCATTATCTTTTACATAATTTGTTTTTCGATTTTAGCGAACAATTTTTCTGTTTGGTTAAAGACTAATAAATAAACACTCAACAAGGATTACGTAGTGGCTAATTATAAAACTTGTGAAATGTAAGGCATTTGTTTGCTAACATGCCTCAAGTTGTAAATAAGGGGTGAGCACTTGGAGATTATATGCAAATGCATGGGTTCACAATTTTATTATTAGCCACTACATTACTTATGTTGAGTGCTTTAAGTTCGTTTTTAACCAAACAGAAAAAAATTGTGTCGCTAAAAAGTGAAAAGTCAAAACCGTTTCGACGGGATTTTGAACCTGCGTCGTTGCACGGAAGTCCTCATTACGCAACCGCTACACCACTGCCAGGCATTAAGTTCTGACTACTGTGAAAAAATAATAGATAACATCCTAAACAAACGACGCACGACTTATACGAGGTTACAGCTCTGACTTGTGAGTCGGTCGAGGACCTGTGTTTTCCACGTCTAAGCGACGTGGGTGTGCATCGGACGTAAAGCAATGGCCTTCCGTCGTTGAATCTGTTACCTTCCTGTCGCTGCCCTGCTTTTATTTACTTGGAATCACCCTCTTCTAGTAAGTACACAGTCTGCACGTTTTTAGTATAGATGTACATGTTCCACAGAGAAAAGAGTTGAGACAGAAAGTAAGTTTTTTCTCACGTATACGTGAATTTGTTAGTATATTGTTGTGGATATTATCTGTAATTTTTTGAATTGCCAGTGCAGAATCTATAATAATAACGGCGGCATGCTCAGCTGAAAGGGAGGACACCTTTTTTTAGTTTGTTAAGTTAAAGTTTAAAAATAGGATATTGTTTTTCATATATCAAACTATTTTTAACACATTAGAATTCTTAGGTTATACTGTCCAACAAACTATGTGTTAAAAAAGGTTAAGATTCTTGAGTTTTAAAATAATAATTCAATTCTAAAATGTAAAGTTACTGTATATTTCACAATGGTTTATAAACTGCAAAAAGACAACAGTACTTAGTAAACTAAGTTTAAAAACAGGCAGATCAGCTTTAATATTTGGGACACTCCCATCATTTAGACACCTGTGATGTCATCAGTTGGAGTTGAGTTCAGGTGTGGGACCATAGGGACCATAGGAGCACACAGATGTTACCTGCTGCAGAAAGAGAGTTTAATGTTCATGTATTGCTTTGTTTAATAAATGGATTTAATGTCTTCCCAGGTCTTCAATGTCAGAGACTTTCACTTCTTCTCACTGTGGCTGTTTAAATGAGCCACTACAGTCGTTATTTTTGTTATTGTTAGCTGCAAATATTAAACATCCATTCATCTGCTGGTAGCAAGCTAACTAGCGCTTGCAACTCTATTCAATTTCTTACTTTTTCTTATAAACATTAAAACCAGCCATATGATAATTAAAATACATTTACCTTTGCTAATGCAGTCAATTTTTTGTGAAATCCATAGAGTATAATTTCATGATTGTTGCAATAACTAATGTTCTATGTGTATTCCTAATGTGTCATGTGTGTTTGAGTCTTACAGGTGTCAGACTGTGTTGAAGGTGTTCAAAGGTAAGAATCACACTCTCACACATTGATTGTTGTTCTGTATTAATATGTTGTTTTTAGAATAAACCATTATTTGGTGTATTCTCTTTGAAAACATCTATCTTTTTCTCAGATTGTTCAGCAACTCACTCATGATGAGGGAAAAGAGCAACAAGGGGAAAATGCCCCCTCGGAAATGCGACATGTGTAGAGTAATACAGGGTAAGTAGCTTTCAGGGCTCATTTGTGTCCATGTGCAAAACAAATGCACATTTGCAATTGTTTTTTACATGGAATTACTCCAATGACCAAAGCCTTATCCCAAGTTTCTCAGACTGAGTGTCTTCCAGTGTCTCGAGCTAGTGCAGTGCCAAGGTTTGTATCACATGGTGACGGATCGAGTGGTTTGAGGCATTAATAGAAAGTTATGTGTGTTGTTATATCACTTTGCCACATTATGTTGAAACTAAACATGTTCCACATTTCCAGGTGCTGTGCTTGGACCTTGTGATGAGAGACTGAAGACCAAGAGAGGACACATGTTGGAACATCAACATTCAATAAATGCATTCTTCTGCCTTTCAGATTGTGTTTTTACATCTGAGGAACCTAGAGTGTAGCTTGTGCCTGTTTTAATACTGATCCAAACATAGGTGCTACAATCATGTTTTTTTTACTTTGGCATGAACTGTTCAGTACAGTAGTGTTCATAACACTGTGCCCTGTGTGGTTTAACTTGTACTTTGATGTAGAGAAAACATGATTTTTTAATGCAGCTCCATTTGCAATAATGACTGATATCCTTCTACTACAGTTGTTCTAATGATTTTTGAATGCTGTGTTTATCGTTTATTGCCCAGAGTCAGAACTAAACATGATATAGCTGCATTTCAGATTCACAAGGCTAAAATCTGGAACGGTCTTCCTGGAAATGTGAGACAGGCTTCTTCTTTGACAATGTTAAAATCCAGGTTTTAAAACACTTCTGTTTCTGCTTCAACTGAGAGATTTTTTGAGAGATTTTTATTTGTATCTTTTTAATTTACTGTCAATATTTATAATTGTAATGCCTTGTTTGATTGTTTCTATCTTTTGTTCAGTGCTTTGAGTTTCCTTTTGTTTTGACTGTGCTATACAAATAAACTTGCCTTGCCTATTGCAAAAAGTATGTCTCGACTATTAAGTCATTCTACAGAGGTCAATAGGACTGTAAATGGACGTCATATAAACGTCAATATTTTGGTCATATAAGACGTCGAGAGGACGTCGGACCCGACTGGTTCTGTACCACATTACAACCTTGAATGAACGTCCAGATGACGTTGGAATTACGTTGTTTTGACATCTGCTTGCTTAGTGGGAACGACTGAAAACGAACGTCATATAAACGTCAATATTTTGGTCATATAAGACGTCGAGAGGACGTCAGACCCGACCGGTTCCGTACCACATTCAAACCTTGAATTGACGTGCCATCAACGTAACATTTGGAGGTTGAGGTGACGTCGGGAAACGACGTCGAGAAAACTTTCATTCTGCACCCACCAGTGACCTATATTCTACGTCGGACAACGACGTTCAAATTACGTTGATTCAACGTCGGCTTGCTTAGTGGGTGGAGCTTTCATCCTTAATCATTTGTTTAAATTTCTGCGAATGGAATATCATCATAGATATCATCTAAGTTTGTCCCGACCACATGCACAACCTGAGAGCATTTACCAGTATAAATCTGCCGCAGGACGCTGGCAATTAAACATGAATCTAAAGTCTTGTTTACTCGTTTGGCAGAAACTGGTGGAGTGAGGTGGAGGTTCACAGATCACAGCTGGTCAGAGATAATAGGCATCTGCTGCTTGTCGCACTGTGATTCAATCATCGAGGCAGTGCCGCTCTTCACCAGCCAAGTCTTTACATTCACAATAGCAAGACAGCTCAAGCCAAACGAGCACTCAGACATACTAACACAAGAAAATGATGTTGAATTTAACCAAATGTCACATGGGGTTTCATATCGAGAGCAGTGTATAATTGTATTTGCTTTAGTAAGTAGAGTTTGTTTTCTCAAATTTTAAAAACACATATCGTTACTGAAAATGCTACTTTCTACTGATATTAATGCAAGTATTATAAAACTATAGCGGTGACAAACAGAAAATGAAAAGAGTGCACTCCTAAGACATTACATTAGTGGTGCGGCCTCATGTTGCCATGGCACCAATCTCAAAAGTACAGCTCATTCTGTCCAAATGAACCAAATGGGAGAAAGGTTAAAAGGCACAACTCCAAACACAACTTATTTAACTTCTTATTATTACAAAAATGGCATGAAAAAAATTAAACACAAAAATACATTATGGGTTACACCGTTCATATTTTGTTATGCCCTTTTTTGGTAATAATCTACCCATACAGCCAAGAATAATCTAAATATCGTACGTTTTAAACCACCACAAACACGAACTCTCCCACAGCTGCATTGAAAATGGATAAATATTGAGATGCAAACCTTTTTTTTGCCAGCTATCAAATAGGACTTTATGTATCGTATCATAGGAGAACAAACTAAAGAGTCCTACATGTTGAACAAAACGTTGCTGCCCAAAATACTTTTCTCAATGACTTGGGGAAGCCATCCCGTTTCCTCAGTGGATTCAACACAACATCCTAGTACCACGTTCATTACTTCTGGCAGACTAGCCGTATGCCGTTTCCTTGCAACACCTCGGCAGACCTGACAGTGGACCATGGCCTAATTTCCAAACACCTATTCTTTCCTTCTCCTACGTGACTTCTCCATGGTACGACTCGTTACTGGACTCACAAAAACACAGCGCAGACACTGGCCCACACACAAAGGCCCACCACTAAAACCATCAGACGCTTTGTTGTATCGACTTTCGGCTCCTCGTTAGCCCTATTGAGTGAAAGTGTAAAGGGATTGAGTGAAAATATGGTGCTTAGGGGTAAAAGTGAACAATTGTGGCCATTTCGTAGCAGGGTTTGTGCAGGGATGCCATGTAGAAAGTTATCACAGGCTGTGGCATGAGCTACAGTTCTGGGTTTTCACTGTAAAATCAACCACGACTGTAGTGCTTATTAATGTTGTGTACAAAAGGTTAAACAAAAAACCTCAACTTTGATAGCTTTGTTTTTCAATATTGTAATGATTCACCGTGAGTCACTCTGGTAGAAGTGATCAGGTCCTTCAGTAATTGTCCTCTGTTATTTAAACATTATGCAAATGAGGAAGGAGGCCATAGGGTCAGAGTTAATGCCATGCCGTGAATCATCATTTGGCACTTGATGAAAAATGGCAGAGCAGTGTAGGCTGGAGATGTGGTGAATTAAGGTAAAGACCAGGGATTAGAGCTGTTGAGGCTCCTTAGGTAATCTATTGACCAGTGTGCAACGCAGATGGCCCCATGATCCAATTCTTGATTAACAATCATGCTTCAGGTTAGCTAGGTTATGTAATATGATATGCAGACATACGTTAAAGGTGCATTACGCAACATTTTGGATATTTTGGCACAGTTGACCTTGATGTGACGCAGTGGCTGTAAGAGTGTTCAGGGCCTTAACTTTTGATCAGTGTTGTGTCGACATTGCTCCAGGATCGGTTGTTTTGCAGTTCTCTGGTGTGGGGGTCCGTCAGCAGAGAAAACCTTCCAAATAATTGACACTATAGCGACCTTGAGACCACCGTAATGGCAAGTAAAGCTGATCACTCATACAATGACCACCACATGGTCAAAAATGTTCACATAAAAAGGTTGAATAAGCCCTTTAAAATAGCATTATCTGGTCTCTGTGGGATGAATAAATAAACTCTTAATCTTAATCTAGTTTGATGCTCAACCTGAGTAAACAAACATCAAACTTCTTATTTCTACTGTGCTGTATTGTTTGCAATGATGTCACATGGTTAGATTGGTATTAACTTGGTGATCTTTGTGCAAGAAAGTGTGGTTGGGTGATTGGAGCCGGACTCGCTTCAATCACTCGACCCCAGGGCAGCTGTGGCTACAACACCATAAACAATGGGTCATAATAATGCTACAACTTTTTAAATGTGGGAAGGAATAGTTTGCACTGTAATAAACTGATTATGCAAAAGTTATTCAATATTGTGATTTTGTTCTTTTCTTTTTTTAACAAAACTCTTAATCCAGCAGTCATTTCTACCTCAATTCAACCGGATGCTACCAAAGTCATGCCTTATTGATTCTCTAGTAACAACGGTGATCTTCGACGTGGGCCCCACCTGTGGTTCTTGTCCTCCATCTGTAGTGTGTACACCATGTCGTCCGAGAGCAGGGCACGTGTGTGCGTGTTGCTGTTGTTTTCGCCCCACTTTAGTTTCAGGCTCTGGGGTCCCGCGGCGGAGCACTCCAGAGGGGGCGGGGCCGGAGGGAGGGGCCGTGTCCGCACCAGTAGGGGAACGCTGCAGGGGCTGGAGCCGATGGCGTTCACCGCTTGGATCAGCACACTGTCCAGAGGCAAAAGTCAGCAATGATTACATACAGCTATAATTTTATTTACAAAAAACAAAAACAAAAAAACACAGACACATCTCCTAAAGTGTACACTACAAAAACTAAAAGTCAATAGTGGTGACTGATTTCAAAGCCAGTTCCGTGTATTTATAATATCAAATAAGGAATACCACACATTTTGACTTATCAGAATATAATAGTGCCTTCAAAGCAGCAGATGGAAACATTAAGTTCATCTGTTTCATCTCTTATTTTTTTCACAAGTAAGCTCAATATAACATGTTTTCTATCAAAGGAAAACACGGCAGGTTGTGGTCTGAATTATAAAAAAACACTTTTACAAGATTGGGTGACAAACACAATGTAATATTTATGAAATGATAGTCCCCAAGCTTCAGGCCGCCTATTCGCTGTAGGTGAAGCTTTTTACGCCTCTGACCATATGGTTTAGATCCTCAGCTGAAGAGCCTCTACCCGCTGACATTTGCCTGTGCTTCCATAACCTTTTGTTTGAATGCATGGTTCTGTGCGAGGAAAGGGCAGTGCTGTTCTCTTGGCTGTGTAATTAAGAATATGGATCACACAGGGAGACCAGTGAGGGGCAGGAGACAAGTACTCAGTGACAATCAGGCTTAATTTTGATGAGTTAATGTTCGTCTTAGCTCAGAAAAGATTTGCACATGAAAGGAGGGTGCGTGACATCAGAATTGCAGGTGCCGAGGAAAACGTAAGAGCTCCATGTCAGAACAGCTGGTGTGACAAATGTAAACATGTTTTGTTTTACGGCCCTGGCAGGTACACTGGTTTGGACAAAACAAGTTTTCAAACAAACAGCTGATGATCGATTGGGGAGGTGGGACAAAAAGCAGATTATACAGTGGATCAATGCGTACAGCAATTAAATGAATAAAATCGTTAAAAGTGAAAAATCATTAAAACATTCTTTTAGCAGGTATCTTTCAGAGCCTGCCTCGATACAGGTGATTTGTGTTTTGATATGGTTTAGTAAAAACGATAGGATTTTGGACCCTTACCTAGTGCTAATTTAAAAAAAACGACACTATTAGTGCATATACATATACATGCATTCAATTTATTGGAGATCGGTTACTACCATATATTCAAAAGTGAAAAAAATAATAATAAAAATCTTATTACACAAATCCATTTTTATTTTAAGCATAATCCTTAAGTTGCCCCATACAAGTGGCTCTCTAAATCCACACTAGTCAACCAAATATGTCCAAGCACTAACATAATAAACATGTTTAAATAATTCTTCACCAATTTCAAACTAACACTGCATAAAATCCTCCCCTGAAGTAAAACTCAAACCAAACATGTCTTCCACAAAATGAAAAATGAGCCCGATTTGAACTAAAGTGCCACTTAATGTCATGGAGCACAGTGACATGAACAATGAGCCATAACACAACAACACAAGGCGACCTCCTCCCTCCCCTTTCACAGAATCCACTGACAAGAGCAACATGAGGGTCTCAGGTACAGCAGGTGTGCATGAGGTGTCCACATGTTTACAGAGAGAATTTCACAAAGAACAAGAAGCCAGGTCAATTAAGCTGTGCTATAAATACATCACATGTGGATCATTTGCATCAAAATAAAATAAAGCGAGAAAAGAGAAACATAAAACGGGTCAAGACACTGGATGCCTGTGAGAACTGTCTCCTTTCAGTGTTCCTGTTATTTTTGCAGGTTAATGACCGGTTTTGATTTTATGTTTATTCATGACCTTTTTACTTAACCTATTTGTTCAATCTGCCATGTATCTTTTAATTTTTACCTGTATCCAAGCAATGTAGTCAAGCATTAACTCCAACAATTAGATCCATATAAATACATACAGTACAGACCAAAAGTTTGGACACACCTTCTCATTCAAAGAGTTTTTTTATTTTCATGATTACGAACATTGAAGGCATCAAAACTATGAATTAACTCAAATGGAATTATGTACATAGAAAAAAATTGAAACTGCTGAAACTATGTCTTATATTCTAGGTTCTTCCAAGAAGCACCTTTTACTCTGATTACTGCTTCGCACACTCTTGAAGGAGTTCCCAGAGATGCTTAGCACTTGTTGGCCCTTTCGCCGTCACTCTGTGGTCCAGCTCACCCCAAAACCATCTGGACCTTTGGTCTTTACTGTACATGTAAAAAGTAGTAATAAAACTGTTTGGAACTTGCAAGGAGTTTTAATAGCCAAATGCTTTCATATCTGTTGAGCTCTCTTAAGGAGGATTTCAGTTAGAAATCAATTTTTTAAAATCTTTTGTTGTGAAGAATGGCACATCTATATATTGTTCAATTTAACTTTAATTCCTGACCTCTTGTATTTAAACAATACAAGAGGTCATACATACCGCTCCCATCTCTGTGTGGAGTGAGAGGACAAGTGCCCAAAAAAAAAAAAAATAACAATTGTAAACCGCTTTGTGACTCTGGTCTGTGAAAGGCGGTATATAAATAAAGCTTACTTACTTACTTACTTACTTACTTAAACATAATAGATAATAATTAATTGCAATCTTTGTTTATGTTTAGGATTCACGTGAACAAACAGCATTGGACGTTGCTTCTCATACCTGTACTCTGTGTCAGGCTGCAGGCCGCTGACCATGTGACTTGTCCCTGACTCCACGCAGATGGTCTGGTCGTCCACGGTAAGCACGTAGGATGTAATCTCTGCCCCGTTGCAGTGTGGCTCCTCCCACTTGAGAAAGAGGCAGGTGGAGGGGAAGTGCCCCGTCTCATGGCAGCTAGGCAGGTCGACAAGGGACAGGGTGCTCACGGGGTCCGGCTGTGTGGCTGGGGTACGGATACTGGCCTGGTCACTGTAAGGTCCTGTACCAGCGTGGTTCACCGCCTGCAGAGACAAGCGAGACGTGTTAACACTAGGAGCGCCCCTAGCGGTCAACTGACCGTCACTCACTTTAATATGCTAATTAGTCTATTCAAAACAAAACGCCATAAGTTGAAATTTTATGACTTTTATTAGGTACTTGTTTATATTTTGGTATGTTTTGGTTTTGGAAAAAGTAAAGAAAACAAGATTTACACGCATTTTAACTTTTCTAATCCACAGCCCTTTCTGCTGCCCCATAGGGATACATGGCGCAGGGGCGACTGTTGTCATAGTAACCTTTCCCGGGGTTTTTTTGCGCCTCATAAAAATGTATCAATATGTTGTCATTAGACTCTAAAGGGACTTGAGTTTTTTTTTATTATTATTTGGGAGAGAGAGAGTTTTGAATTGAGAGGAGTACAAAATGAATAGAGCTGCAACTACAGCCCTGACAGTGCTTCAAGACATTGAATGAGAACAGTCTGACGGAGGTGAGATGTCACATTTTGAGGTGGAAAGTGACAGCAGGGAGAACACCTATAATATTCTAAATCTGAACGTAAACCCATAGTGCATTCACGGCACGGACAGCAGTGTTGTAAAAAGTCCAGAAGCAATAATGCACATGACCCGCGTAATGCCAGCCATACGGAGGTGTCTGTGTGCGCGCTGTCGCTCCATTCTGCCTTTTCATTCATCATCAATTACATTCTTATATTTATAAAGCAGAATACAATATCGCAATAAAATAGAACAATTAGATGAACTATCAAGGCAGGAGCGCGGATGGAGCGCTGTGAGACCTCTCGTCACCCGCGGACACTGCAGGAGGAGAGTGACTGTGGAGCAGAAGCGGCCCTCATATCATATCAATGAGGATATCATTCTTATTTTATCCAGATAACACTGTGTGTTATTCTGCACAGCGTGCACTGCAAGGCAATGATTATAATTTTGTTCTGATCATAAAGAGCACTGCTTGTCTCTAATAAATACATATATATATTTGTCTTTCTAACGTGTCCCGTGTAAAATTGAAGATTTTACAATGAAGATGGTAGCCTATATATCTGCTGATCTCGTGTCAATACGAATACTATTATTATTATCTAGATAATATTTCCCACGGTGATTTCAGCTGGAAAGAGAAAACAGTCTGGAGATGACATAAGAAGCAGACGCATATAGCAGCGCGAAGACGTTATGGTCCTGTGCTTTTCTAAACTATCATTTCATATCATATTTCATATATCATATATTGTTGCTGAGTCAAATTTAACATATAGTGACCAACCTTTTAGGTGTTTACAAAGTTACAAAATAAATCTAGCCTGAAAAGTCATCGTAATTTTGATGGATCAGTACACGCACAATGTGTCGTCTTAGCTTTTTATTTCGGCTAGAATTACAATTACTTAGTATATTTAGACAAATAATTTACACAGTTTCATTATGATCACGATTTCCTTGCAACATCAAGTTCTGGTTTAGTGAACAATCAATTTGGCAAAAGGCTGTATCAGCGCAAAAAACATAGCGGTCAACTGACCGCAGGGGGCGGTGCAAGGCATGTTTAGAGCACGGCGGTCCTAGTGTTAATTACTTTATTGAATTCAGATAGAATGTAAATATTGAATGCAAATCTAAGGCAGTCAAAAGCCATCCATTTTATTCCTCCTCTTTCTCCGTTGCTGGATCCCAGCATTCTAAGGAGAGACGACCCAGACTTCACTTTCTACACACACTTTCAGTTCATCCGAGGGAATCCCAAGGGGTGTTCCCAGGTCTTCCCCAGGGTCTCCTCCCGTGGGACATGCCAGAATATCTCCCCAGGGAGACAACCAGGAGGCCTTTGAAACAGACACCTCTTGATGTAGAGAAGCAGCAGCTCTACTCCTGTGTGACCGAGCTGCTCACCCCATCTTTAACTTCTTTTGACCGCTGGTGTCCGCTATCTCACCCTTTTGGTCACTGCCCAAGGCTTAAAACCTTAGGTGAGGGGACGTAGATTGAGTAGATTAATAAAATCGAGAGCTTTGCCTTTTGACTTAGCACCCTTTTCACCACAAGAGTTGAATACTGCGATTGCATCACTGCAGTTACAATATACTCCAGATATCCATAAAAAGAGAACAACAATCAGGCATCACAGACTCCTCAAAAATCAAGGAAAGAGGTGCTGAAGTTTTAATGATAATTTATAAAAAGTGATACTCTGACTGCTGTTGTGATTTTGGGAGATACACAAATACATGGGCTGGATCCTTGTGAAGCTCATTGTTACCTGTAGCCGGCAGCAGTACTCTGTGGCTGGCGTCAGGTCCGACAGCTCACACTGGGTGGCAGATCCACAATAGATGAGCTCCATGGGCTCGTCTTCTCGTGCCCACTCCAGACGATACTCCGAAATGTCGCTCCCCGACCCCTCCGGACTCTATCAGACGGTCAAACACAGGCTTTTGTAAGTGCCACAAACACCACAAAGGAAAAGGACACATGCTACATCGCAGCAGTCTTCCATGACACATTTTCCATCAAGTTTCACCATGAAGAATAAGGGCAACATTTACAATCTAAGCCGGGTTATAATAGTTTCATTAACTCACCTATAGCTTCATCAAGGGGCTATTGGGCTTTTCTCGATAGATAATTGGATCAATTCTGAGTTCATTATGCTGTAAATTGTGATTCCGTCACTTCTCAACTGATAAAACTGCTACCATAAAGAATTGCTACACTTGAACAAATTAGTCAAGAATTAACTGATAAGAATCCCTCAAAGAAGCCTTTTTCAACATGAATGAAAACAAAAGTCCAGTCGGTAGAACTCACCTCCCAGTTAAGCGTTACACAGGTGTTATTGCTCATTGTAATAACTGGCGCCCCACACTGGCCTGGAGGACCCGCTGCAGTCGTCACCTCTGTTGCCTCCGAGAAAGAACCAAACTACAACAAAAAAGGAATATATTATAATGTTAAACAAAAGTAAAAGTTGATCCTGACAAGTTGCCTCTGTGGCATTGAAGGAAGGGTCATGAGCTGAGGACAAATGTTGTCCCTACGAGGACAACAGAGTGTGCCTTAAACTTAGTACCTGTTTGACCCAAAAGCATGCACTACACTTGCATAAACAAAATGTCTAATTAACCAATGGTGGTACAGGCAGACTTTATTAAATTGGCTCTTGGTGTCAGCTGAAAGTGAATGCGGAAGCTAAGCAGGGCAAAGCCTGGTTAGTACTGTGATGGGAGACCTCTGGGAACTCTGTTGGCCCACTGTGGCAAGACACAGGCAAGACATACTCGTATTGATTGACTAGTATGAGTCTCTCAATGAGTATTTGAGAGTCCAAAAAAGATATATAAATACAAATAATGTGAGTAAGACTTTTTGCGCTAGTTTGATTTTCTATATAATACACTTAGATGAGAATGACTTCGATGTTGTAGTTTCATGTTTGTATCAGTTTCAGCTGGTGGTGCATCAAGTGCTATGTGATTGTTTTCAATGATAAGGTGGGTCAAGGCACACTATTGGGGAACACTAAGTTAAAGAAAAGTGATTCAAGAACTGATATAAAACAAAATGGTAAAAAAACACAGGACAAAACAATAGCAGAAGTTTTGCATAAATATATTATACATTAAATCAGACCATATTTTGTCCAGCGACTGCAGAGATATTGTAGTGCCATTATGCTGCCTGTACGTGCATTGTTCATGTTTTTAAGACATCAGGTACAGTGCCTCTTAATGCCTCCCTCCCTACTTGAGGGTATAAAGCATGTTTGTTTCCTTTTAGATCGGTTGGAGGAGCATGGTCAACCCTAATTGAGCTAATAATGAGAATCAAATGTTCGCTTCAGTCGAGGGGACTCTGCTCCAACTAATGCAGCCTCTTAAATCTGTCTGGGACACTTTGCCCCAGGAAAAAGAGCGCTGTGCATCTCTGTGATATCAGCGTATATTTGCAATGTATTTGAAACAGCTACAGACGTTATTAAATAATTAGGGGGTGATATAAAAGCATAACCATAAACACACGTTTTGGCTCTGTGTACAAGAGAGCAGAAGGGGACAGCTACTACATTCACTTTTTTTCTATAACACGGTAAATAGGGCCATTTACACAGTTGTCTGAAGGTAAATGTCATGTATCAATCAATCATGTAAATGTTTAGATCATAATGTATAGCAACTGCGAACAATGTAATGAACAGCAATAAATAACATAAAAAAGAACGTCCTATATACAGAGTGTCACAAGTGCCGTACCCCAGCCTCGTTGGCCGCTCGCAATCGGAAGTTGTATGTTGCACCTGGAAGCAAACTGGCCACAGTGCATTGCAGCTCGGCACCGCTGTACACCTCCGCTGGGTCACTATCGCCTTCACGCATCTCCAAACTGAAGACACACTGCTCGCACACACCCTCCGTTGTTGGGGAGTCTGAAACAGAAAGTTAAGAGTTAAAGCTTTGCTAACGGCCTTTACACACTGCACTGCGGACCCGTGTTGAAATACTGTGTCGACCACGGATCCACAATGGGAATGCTAGTAGAGTTGTTTGAACCTGCCTCGTTTTTCACCACAGGGGAGACTGGAATGTGTCAAAAATAAAAAGGTCAAAACCAACTTGCAACTTTCAAAATCAGTGCCAGGTCCCAGAACCAGAGGGAATACCATTATACCATAACATAACTCACGTTTTACAAGGAAAGAACAATTTGTGCAAAAGCCACCAGCCTGGTTTGTGTGTAAGGAAAAGCCCTGGGTTTTTGGCTATGCTTGATATAGGTCCTTAAAGTGGTGGATAGTATCACAGGTTTTCCTATTGTTGAGCAATGTTTACACCAGGGAGAGCAGAAATTACAGCAATACCTTCAGCAATAACATAATCAACATTTATGTGGCTTTATTACACCTCACAAGGTTCTGTGAACTGTAATATGACATTGGGAAAACCTAGCTGAACCAACTGTAACTAGAGTGATAACAGCAGTAGCATGGATGCTGATTGGGTCCACATGTATTAAAACCAATTCAAAAACAGAACTTCCGCTGCTTTCAGCATGGGGAGACCAACAGATAGTGACACTAATGCTTCTTAATGGGTGAACATTAGCAGCGTTCAGTCAGATGTGAGGGCAGGTTCGGATTTAATGGAGTAAAACAAGGGCACAAATTGGTGGAGAACTGACTGATCTAATGGTGCATTAGACCAGCGAGACTCAGGTAGTTTCAAACCAAGCACAGAATTATTCCCATAGACTTACCCCATTCTAACTGCACTTCCTTGTGCTTGGCTTTTCCCACAATCCTTGGCGGCACACAGGGGCCCGGTGGGACACATAACGTGCGGACAGGTACACTCATAGCACACTATGGAAACAGGGACAAGTGTGTATTAGTTATTCACGTAAAGAATTTGTTGCAAAATTATATAAAAATTTCAGTGACACCAAAAAATCCTCGTATTTTCTTATTGTAGTCTAGAAGTGGCTCAATGAACTTGCTCTTTGTTTTCAATGTGTTGCTTAGTTTAAGGTTTTTGTATGGGTTTGGTTTATTTGTCTGCTTGTCTTGTTGGTCTTTTGTGTCTTTAAAAAAGAAACAACAATAACTTCATAAATAAACTTGCTCTGAAGTTAATCAATTTGGTTTATGAATCTGGACCAAAACCTATTAAAAGAGATGTTATGACTCAGACAGAGCTATAAATAGGACAGAATGACATGACAGCAACACTTCATTTTATGAACAAAGTATATTTTATAAAATATTTGTGCTATATAAGATAAGATAAGATATACTTTATTGATCGCACAAAAGATAAATTTACATGTCACATCTGGCATGGATAGAAACACTCAAGAGTGTGCAAAAAGAAAGAAATGTGCAACATTTAACATGTTGCACATTTATTTCTTGTATGCAGGATATATTATGTACAATAAAAGTGGTAAATTAAAAAGTGGCAATCAAGAAACAGTGTCAATAGTAGTGCAGGTTGCAGGTGACTTAAAGTGACTTGTTGTACAGTCTGACAGCAGTGGGGATAAAGGCCCTGCGGGTCACAGCTCTGTTGTGATGTGATGTTACCTGGCTGTGCCCTCCGGTGGTGATGCTGCACACCCGGAGGCGGTACACTGTTCCTGGGGTTAGGTGCTCACACACGCACTCTGTGGCTGGTCCGCTGTAGACCACCTCCCACGGACTCGCTGCATGAAAACATCAAATATATTAAGCCATTGTTTTTATGCATTATGACCCAATACATTTCCTAGAATTCAGTCTTGACCCTTTTTGCGTCAGCAACTCCATTATGGCCTACATTTACAGTTCTATGTGTAATGTTGCACCTCTGCACAATAGGGCATATTAGGATTTATGTAACATATCGAGCATGCGCCTTCATAATTCATGAGATAATCATATGGTAATGGAGTGTCAGACTACAGATTACATAAGATTTAGGTCAATGTGAATGCTAAATGGGAATTTCTATGTCAGTAAGTTCAACTCTTCTCGTCGCAGGTACCATCAGATCTAAACCTGAACTAGGTCAAGCCAAAATGAGTCTAGATGGTGTAAAAAGCATTGATAAAGTAGTTCAGAAGAAATAATATAAGATTGATAATTTTAGACCTAACATTTTACTTTATGAGCTTTATGTCAATTAATGAATATGTATTCCTCATCATCATCTAAAATATTTCAGATACAGTATTTGTTGTTACGAAAGATTAAAAGCATTATGGGGATGGTGCATTTAAAAAAAGAAACAGGTAATTTCTTTGTTTATACTGTAGTGTATTATACTTACGCATTCATAAAATTTTGGTGTGATTTATGATAAGAAAAAGTTGTTAAAGAGAACATAGGACTGAAGTTTACTGTACCTTCAGAACAGCCTTCTGAAATCTCTAGCAGGTATGTAAGAGCTTCAGAACCACCATTGTCCTGCGGAGGATCTGGAAATAGAAAAATTATTGAGAGTTGAATTTTATTTTCATTTTATTCATTGATTTGAGCAGAAGTAGTGACATTCATCAGATATTTTTCTACTGTACATACAGTTACTAGTAAACACATACATGGATATATACTTACATGTAGCTAAGCAACAACTGACAGGATTCACCACATGCTGATACATTTACAACTTTATTTACAACCTACAAATGTAATGTGTGTAATGCGATTGGTTTAGCAGGGAGGGCCAGGAGACGCCATAACTCACTCTGAGCTTGATATGAGCACGCAATACTACAATATGCACTAAATGAGACACTGCATTAATGAATACTTAACAAATTGTCACTGTTGCCAGAACTTTGAAAAGGTGGATGTTTTATATACAACTCCTGCCATTGTTGTCCAAGGCAGTGATTCTCAACAGGTGGGTCGCAAGATCATTTTTAGTTGGTTGCTAGACTTCCCTGGGAAACACAGTATGCATCTACTACACTGCAGAAAGTATTATTCTAGAAAGTCACAATGTGTCCATACATTTTTATGCTAAGCTGTACCATACTAAGACAAATGTACGCATTTCAAGGTTATATATTTCTTTCACCTATTGCGTTGATTTTAGAGTTTAGCTTAGTAGTACTGGTAGTATTATTATTCTTATACAATTTTACCTCATTTATATACTAAATTCAGTTCTTTTTTGTATTGTAAGTTGAAGAGTCACAATCATGTTCCAATGGAGTGCCAGCTGTGTTCCTCTTACCCCATGTGACTGTGAAGCCATAAGGCGTTGCCGCGGTGATACACGGTGTGGATGGAGGGCCGGGTTTATCTGGGTTTGTGGTGCACACTAGGACTTCACTGGGACTGCTTTTCCCCTCTGTGTTTGACGCTATGAGCTGCAAAAGAAAAATAATAATAATTTCAAATCATTTTTATTTACAGCTTGTTTTAATGGTACAAGAATAATGGTAAAAGTAGTGAGGCGTGTGCTGGCGGTGACTTGATGAATCGGATCATTAGTTTCTGCCGTTGACCCTGTGCAGCGCCTCAGACTTCCATTGGAAAATCAATTAGTTTTGTTCCCAGGTTCCAGACAGACTGAACATTGAATAATTGTTTGTTCTAAGACAACAGAACCGGAGCCGACTCAGCACATCCAAAAAGTTCCAGTGCTAGATCATCCACGAGAGAAAATATCGAACGTATATAATCATTTGAATAGCGGTTAAATTCAAAAGAGGCATTGTCATCTTTGTTCATATGTCAATGCCATTCTGTGACGGAATGTGAAGACACTATTTGTGACAAAGGGAAGGTTTCTAACTTCAAAGACGATAGATTGGATAATGGCGGAAGTCTACCTTAAAGTTATAGCACAAAAGGCAAACAAATATGAAAAACCTCCCTATATAGCGTAGTTCATTATATTTCCAGCATTGTGTTAGCTCGCCAACACAATCTCCTTACATTTCCCCATTGTGGGACAAATAAAGATTTTCTCATCTTCTGACTGGAGCTCATAGAACTAAGAAATGACTTATCTGGGTTCTAATTATTTTGATATGAGAACAATACATATAATACATACATCCTTTCAACTAATTTTGAGTAAAAAAAAAAAGTTAATATTTTGAAAAAGCAAAAAATTTATTTGTCATTTCAGAAGAGGCGTCTATGAATGATATATCAAAACTATAAATATATTAATTAATTAATGTATGTAACGTCACTACTACGTGGTCAGTAAATAAAAGACACTTATTAGGAGCAACATAGCTGTGCGGATTTTTTTCAGTTTTCACGTTTCTTAATCCAGCACACTAGTCCAGACTACAGGGATGTGTCGCCTTATTTGAAACCTTCGTGTAATGTACTATCATACATTGGTTGCCAGAAAAATGTTTTAGACATAAAGATAGACATTTCTAGCAAGTGGGAGACCCTCTGAAGTGAAGTCTCTCTGTCAAAGTGCACGGTTCGAGATAGTAATAGAGGTTCATCGTGTGTGAAAAACTCACTCTGAATTTATACTGCGTACTTCTCTTCAGACCTTGTACAGTACAAGTCAAGTTATCTCCAGTGTACTTGGGATGAAAGTCCATTCCCTGTAAGAGTAAGAAAGATACAATCTGTGAATGTCCCACATTTGCTTCAGATTGCAGCAATTTATGAAGAGGAACCGGTTGCTGGTTTATTGGACTGTGTTTTTTCCCAAATGTTGTGATCCACCCCACCCCAATAGTACCAGTGTACAATATATAATGTATATATTTGGTTCCCCTGCTGCACTGGCGAAAAAAATAATATTTGGAATGTTAAAACGCATTGCAATTTTGTTAAGGTAACCAGTTTTTTAACCCATCACATTTATAAAGATTTGCCCTGTTTCTTGTGACACCATCAACTCACAGTCATCAAATGTGAATGTTCTAGGTCATGTTTAAAATGTACACTTAAAATATCCAACTTTCCAGGTATTATGCATTAGATTTCAGCTGTTTGGACAAAGCAATCCATATTCACTTACGGTGTTATCTTCTTGGATTTCGAGAGTGTATTTGAGCTGTTCTTCACTGGAGCTGCACTCGGGTCGGCCCCACTCCAGGGTGACCCAGGACACTCCGGCCCGCACCAGTCTGGGAGCCAGGGGTAGAGCCGGCAACGTGCCCATGGTGTAGTACACCACCTCTGTGCTGAAGCCACTGCAACAACAACAGCAGCATTAATAACTATTATATCATGGAATAATTGTGGACTATTATTATGTTGATACAAGAGAGACGTGTGGTCAATTCTAAAAGCTTCAGAGTGAAAAAACAGTTGCAAAGTTGTTGAGCACAACTATGAATCTGAGAAACACACTTTTATGTACCTATGTGCTTCTGAAAAGCCAAATTCGTTTAGTGTTCATATATTTTAATATGACTGAAAAATCCCAGTTATTAGCCACTCTATAGCCTCCCTATAGCGTACATAACAAAAAGTAACAAGACTAATACAAATATTTTGATTGCTTTTCTTCACTGAAATGAAAACCAGCCAAATATTGTTGGTCTGCAGAAGGAGTTTCAGTTCAGCGAGGTCATTCAATATGTCCTCCCTCACTCCTCGCTCCCCTCTTCCTGCAGCCCTACAAATAATGACTAACAGGACGATGAGTGGAGATGGAAATGGAAAGAAAATGACAGCAGAAAGAAACTAGTGGCCAGTGAAAAACATGTGTCAGTCTATTACATTGCATTAGGAGTACTTCTATAAGTCTGTATTCAGGTGACGTGTGCAGCCTATATGTGCTCTCCAACCAAGATCCTATAGAATTCTGGATATGCCACCATCTCACCAGAACATAAAACCAGCTGTACTTTTAGAATTACCACTAAATCATTTTCATTGGGGGCGACAGTAGCTCAGTTGGTAGAGCATTGGCCTTAAGGCCAGAAGGTTGTGGGTTCAATTCCCACCTCTGCACCTTCTCCACCGACTCCCACTGATGACTGCTATCGTTGTGACCTTGGGCAAGACACTTAACCCCACTTTGCCCAAAGCCCCCACTGAAAGATCAAGGCTATGCTCACACTCAGAGAGCAGCCGTCCTCCTGTGGACTCACCACCTGCAGAGGGTCAGTGAGGGGCTGGTGCTATGAGACTTGGGTGGCATCTCTGATTGCCACCCCCCTGACCCAGAAATGGATTAAAGGGTAGAAAATGGATGGATGGATGGATGGCATTTTCAAAAACAAATAATCAAAGATACTCTATGAAACCTTTCTGTGGGAGTATTTTGCCTGGATTGTTCACTGTAGCAATGAAACAATCCAGCATCTACATTGGAAACAAAACGAAGAGTTTCTATAAAAGACTATTAACCCGTTGAAGAGTTTAGGTTTTGGAGAAATGTTTTGTAATATGACAAAAATATTTATTGTAGAAATTTCAATCATACTGAGGTGCAGTCTAAGTTAATCAATTTCCCCAAGTGGCAGGTGGACCGCCCCAGAAAAGATGCACCTTTAATAGTACTGCTAGCTAAATTTGTATCAGTATGTTGAAATCCAAATCAGCGCACACTCCCCTTCCCCCGTTAACACGGTCAAAATCACAAACTTGTATTTGTTCTTTTCTTCCTCTACTTGTATATGTATTTTATAAAAGATCGAATTTTTTTCCCGCTAGCTCTGGACAATACGGGGATAGAAATTGAGACGTGACGTGATAATATGAAAGCATTTTGGTGATTTTATGCTTCAAAAAAGCAGCTTGAGGCCCAAACACACGTTCTCAGCGTGTCCCCTGATTGGTCAGACTGAGTCATTTCCCTGATAATAGACATAATGTTCTGTATCTGATCACACAGCAGAGACTTCAGTACCTTGTGCCGATATCGTTGTGTGCAGCCACTCTGAATGTGTAGCCACAGGCCGGGAACAGTCGCGTCAGTTTACAGTGTCTCTGGCTCCCGAAGTAATATTCTCTGAAAACACTGTTCTTCTTTCCCTGGAGGATAGAGTAAAATAATTGTTATAATAGCATCATTTGCAGAAGGTCCCCCTCCAAAAAAATCACCTCCAATCGATCATTTTTGGTCTATAAAGCTCATTATAACAAACACAATATGGCCAAAACTCTAATTATAAACAAATTGTAAACATTGGGGTTTTGACTAACTCCACTTAGGCATTTATAATTTTGTGATAATTGGATTGGATTGAATTCCAGTGATGAACTAAACTCTAATCTACTACACTATAATAGACTGTAACCTAAAGTGATCTCATAAGTAAGTCACCTTTATTTATATAGCGCCTTTCACAGACCAGAGTCCCAAGGCGCTTTACAATGTGGCCATTTTTCCTCTCACTCCACACAGAGATGGGAGTGGGGTCATCCATACAGGAGGTGCATGTCAGACTTACATAAATATTTTTAGTGGTAGGTGAAACCGGAGTACCTGGATGAAACCTATGCAGACACGGAGAGAACATGCAAACTCCACACGGAAAGGTCTGGAGGTGGAATCAAACCCAGATTTACATATTAGATTTTTACTCCAGCTCTGTGGTTAAATATGTTTTTTATGACCAGATTCACTCCTATTGTTAAACCTCTGCAAAACTGGTCAATTTTGTGTGTGTTTTATCATTTTTATCACCCACTGCCACTTCCCTTGGTGGGTGATAAACCGAGGGAAGTTTTTAATTATACTCTCAATATAAACTAGATGGAAGGTCATCTATATATTGACATTTACATTGTATTTCCATCCGGTGTCCACTCAAGAACAAGTTCGAGTTCTTTCAAAACAATACATTTTTTCAAACTTTGAGAGAAGAGTGGAAGACCTCACCTCATCCCACTCCAGAAGGTAGTTTGTGATTTTGGATCCGTTGTCGCCCGGGGCCTAAGGACACAGGATAAAAGATGGAAGGATTAAACAAAACGAAAACGCACTCACAAAGCCAGACAAATACCTGTGGAGCTTTCATCATTTTGTCTGAACAACTTTTACTGATGTTCAAATGATTAGTGCAGAAGAGGCCAGAGGGGATACAGAAGACGGATTTGGTTCAGGAAGACTTTGGATTGCTTACCTTGCCTCACTGGCCAAGACAACGCAGTTTTATTATTTTTTATCCAGGCATAACTAAATTTATTGCTAAAATCTCAATTTCCTGGATCAATCCACACGAAACAAAAACCGTCACAATCAATGTATTCTTTGTCATTACATATAAACTATGGTCTGATTATTGATGTATAGAAGTAGTGACAATAATCAAAACAATACTGTATGTGTGTGAGCTCTCTATTAACTCAAATAATATAGGGATTTTTATCATGGCTTTATCTTGCCTCAGAAGCCCCCAACAATGTCAATTTTGACGTAACCAATAAAGATGATATTTCATGAGATGTCCTGTGAATGAAGGACTTTTTAGTCCAGTGTTATTTTGAAGAGATTACCTTCCACTGTAGGGTGAGCGTGCTCTTTGTGCGATGGGACAGTTTGGGGGAAAGGGGCACGTCTGGGAAACTGCAGTGTGTGGTGAAAGACCCGGCCTCCGAACATGAGCCGCGGAATGAGTTGTACATCGCAGAAACTCTGGAAAACAGTCGTCTCATGAGCATTTCACACAGAGTCATTCTGTGATTTATGTAATTGGAAGTAATGTTTGTCTATTGCCCTTACCGTACGTGGTAGTCTGTTGCTGGCCTTAGGTCTTTAAGATGGTACTCCAACTCCTCCCCGCTGAAATGATGTTTACAACATTAACATTTATGGGCATTGGTCATCTGCCCCCTGTGGACCAATGGCTCCTATGTGTTTGTTTTCTAATGCATTTCCAGTTTTCAAGCTGTTTCATTCTCTGAGCTGTTGTTGAGGAATCAACAACTTTGTCTCCTCCGAGACGACTGCTGTTGTGTTTTAGGGCTATACAAAAATAAATTGCATTTTAAATAAAATCTAAAACTTGGTAGATTCAAAAGATGTAATTATATTAAAAAAATACAATGAGTAAATTGTTTTAGGGTTTTCAAAAGTATTGAAAATAAATCGAAACCTTATCTGAGAACATCATCTGATCCTTTTTATAATGATTTGGATCAATCAGAACTACATCTTGTATAAAACATTGTGGTACCATAACACTTCTATAATGGAGTATTATTTATGTTAATAACTCTGGTTCTGAGTTTGGTATGAAATCTTATTTGTTCGAATTATAGGAAACCCATTTTGAATCCATTGTTGGCAAGGATTTCATACATGGGGTCACACGACATTTTAATTTCTTTATATTCAAGTAATGTCAATACAAAATAGGAAAATAGAGAAAATCTCAAATAGAAAAATCATTAATTATGCAGGTGTATGTATGTGAATATACTAGACTATAGTGTAGGCTGATACTAATGAGAGTGACTACCTGTATACGAGTCTGTACTTCCCGTCTCGTCCTTTATCCGACAGAGACACTTCGTAGGAGCAGGACACCAGGGCGCCATTACTGAGCCTGTTCAGCAAGCCTGCAGGTGGCGCCCAAGACAACCGAGCGGCCCGCGCCTGGACATTTGACACCTGAAAATACAGGAACATCACTAATTACAGAAAGTAGGATTAAATGTGATCGATGTTGATCAACACTAGCATCATCTGATGCAGTTTTCCCCTTCAATAATATATGTTTTAGAAAAAGTTGTGTGAAATTTGGTGAAAAAACAAAAATCATACTGCCCCTAGAGTAAATCAATTACTTACTCATTAGAAAACATTTAATATTTTGCATCTACGAAAGTAAGAGCCCTGTGAGTCACTATTTGACACTGGGTGGCAGAGTGAGGGGGTCCTTTTTTCTGATCTTTATGTCTAAATCATTTGGTCTAAAAATGTACATGTGAAAATTAGGAACAACCGTTTTGAGGGTGAGGAACAAGATACATTTGTTAACAAAATATCTATTGTCCAAATAAAAAATGAGAGATTGAATAATGCACTGAATTGCAAAGTAACATAAAAGATGGATTGAAACATTAGTATACAAACACTGTATTAGCATTGGACCAATAAAAGTCATTTTGGAAAAAACAGTGAAACTGCAAAGAAAAAATTCCATGTATTTTAAAAAAAAGACATTTTGTTTTATTCAGATTAGACGTCTCCAATTCGGTCACTGCTATTTCAGGGTTACTCCACGAGCTGTTTCAGATTGTGTGTTGTGTTTGTGACTGCCTCTATACACATTTGAGCATTCATGGGGGGAGATATAATTTAGTGTGATTTAGCTCAGTCTGCTGCTGTCCTGGCCCTAGCATCCTTTGAATAGTCAATGAACGCGGCTGGAGGGCACCACAACCACAACCACGTTGTCGCTGGAGGAAGATGGATAGGCACATGCAGAGAAAATGTACAACCACTAATCTTAATCATGGATATTGTTATGTCACATTACTTTACCACATGGTGAAATTGTGTCGCTAAGATTAATTGAGTCCTTGCTAAAGCTAGCTGTACATAAATGGACATTCCAACAGCAATTTCAGTCACAAAGTAGAAAAATAGAGTCAAGTAGAATAAAACTCCTTGTTTCCTTTCATTTATTTACTAAACTTTCTCTAGCAAATTTAAATGTAAATGACAAGAGATCCTTCTTTTAACTAAAGTCTATAATGGGAGATAAACATTTGCTGTTTGCATGCACAGTCTAATTTAATTCCAGGTAGACTCAGCCAGACTAATTCTTAATAGAGTTGTCCATTCTGGTCGGTGCCAATGGCTGGATCCCAAAGGTTGCCATGGTAATCTCTTTGGTTTAGTACCGACTCCCATCTGGACAAACGCAACTCAGAAAAGACTAAAGGAGTCAAGAGGAGTTTAAAAGGTTAAATTGGGAATGATGTTCATGTTTCTAACAACATTCAAAAAGTAGACTATAAGGAAAATGTACTTAATTGGCAATGAGATACAACAGCTCTATACCATCTATCTATAAAGCAAGGAGCATCGAGTGTGTATGTGCAGAGTGACATAAGAGACAAGGGGAGTGGACGCAGAGAGCATGTGAAAGATGCGAAGTGTACTTTATCGCTTTCATGTAAGTGCAGTTTTTCCAACCGTTGGGAGAGTTGCCTCTAAAGTGACCGTCGAGGATGATCATGTGTATTCGACTGCTGTGACCGCGCACAGGTGACAAAAACATTTCTCCTCAAAGAATCAAACCGAATTGTGAGATTTCTGAATTATTAGAGCCCTATTTTGACGTGCTCTGTACTAATTATTTATTTAAATAGATATGTATTCATCCCACAGATATTTCAGTGTTGCGGCGCATATACAGGACAGAAGTAAGAGCACACAAAATATACAATAGCAGCTATGTTTCTTAGCTAGCAGCAAGGCTTCAATATCAGGTTAGCAATATATCTCTATCCATCCATCTATATATAGTGCAAAGTTATATAAATATAGGGCAGGATAATATGTAGATAAAGGGACATTCACAGATGAATGACATGTACAGATCAAGTATCTCCTCCCATTTGAGTTCCATATATATATATCTGTGAACACTATGCAAGAGTTTGTACAGCTCTGAGTATGTGCCTCAATTAGCCATAACTGAAAACTCAACTAGGCTCCCACCATCAATTAATTCATTTATTTATGAAGAACAATTCATGCAGTGCAACCCAAAGAGACATACAATCATACACATTTACAAACATATGTGGCAAAACACTCATATTAGAAAACACATCCAGACCCTCTCAAGTTGAGGAGAGCGTATGCAGCTCCAAAAGCCTTACAAACCTACACTTGCACAAACAACAAGACCGCCCTGTCCTCTTGTTTTGAGTCTCAAATTTCACCATTACGCCGTTGCTATAAAGGTAAACAGAATTGGCCGAGTGCAGCTAATATTGTGAAGGTTTGAGTGATATATTTCTCTCATACCAGGTTTCCCTTTGCACACCTGGCTTTGCTGTGGTGAGACTCATGCAGGAGCCATCTGAATCCAATACAGCTACAGCATGGATTCTGAAGGCTTCAATCAATAACATGAGCTATCTCAGCCATTCTTCTCTCAAACATGGACCATTACAGCAACAATGACCAGGGGCAGAACTGAAACTCAATGTTTCAATCTTGTTTTCAATTACAGGTGTGCACCGTTACTTTTGTTTATTACCATTACTTTTTTAGTGTGCATCTTAATTTAAATTCACACTTATTAGAACTATCTAGAGAAGCTTAATTTCGTATAGAAATGATCATAGTATAATGCTTTTTGTTATTTCTTAATGAATTAATAAATCACAAATATTTATTGTATCACTAATCCATAAATAGCTCTTTGATCCTCACGTTGACTTAAACATAAGAAGAGGTTTGTTGATTGCAAAATGAAATTTAAATGTATTTCTAAAAAAATTTGATTTTTAAGTCCATATGTAACCGGTCATTTCTATGATGTTCTCCAGGGGCATTACTTAAGCTTAGTTTTTGTCAAATGTATAAAAGAATTTCAGGATCTAAAAAAACTAATCGATTAGTCAAAAGAATAATTTGCAAACTAATTCATCACTAATCAATTGTCTAAATAATATGTATTAACAGCCCTAGTTGTTTCCTATATAAAGTATATAATTGCATCAAATCAGACACTTTGTTTTCTAATTGAAAACAGCTCTAATGGTGCGGTAGTCAATGATCACAAATAAGCACATGCTGCCCTCGTGTGGCCAAGCTGTGACAGAGCTTCATGTGCACAGTCACTCCAACAGCAATTTAGATTCAAGAATTTAGTCCAGTAATTCTTATATATGGTTATATAGTGGAAATCAATGTTTAATACAATTTTAAATATGCATTGAGTTGAATTCATTTCAAGTTTCTTTGCAATGTTTCTCACTGCCTTGCACATGAAAATACTTAGAATAGACAAAACCTGAATCACATGTTTTAACTATTGTTTTGCCTTAGACTTTAGAAAGATTCAAATGTATTGAGATACTCGCCTGTGGTTTATCGATTGTGGAGAGCATGTCTTGAACTCGTTTCCCATCCAGGTCATTTTCTGAAAAAAATACAAACATAAATGAAATGAAACGTTATTCAAATGTTAAAAAATGTTTTACAAGATACGATTATTGTCACCAAGTTTTCAAGTATGGGATTGCTCTTTTAATGTATGTAGAATTCACATAAACACGGGTTATGTAAAATGCACTTAACAACCCCAGCTTGAGTCTTTATGCTCAAAGTTCCACAGACAATAAAGTATATCTGAAGGTGGCAAAGTGGCTGTAATTTCCCCACTGTGGAACTAATAAAGGCTTCATTCAAAAACTCAAAAAAAAAGTTACATGGGACGTGCATATGAGCATGGGAACCGTAAGGAGGAAACATTACAAAGAACATAGCCAAAGACATTTACAACTTGTGGAGCAACACATGTTTTCTTCATCTAATCAAGCAACAGTGATGAGCAAATGGGGAAAAAATAGAAATAATTTCCACTAAAAGCATTAGTCATGAAATCCCGACTTGGAGCGAACACAACGGGCAAACCAGAGTCTTTTGACAATAGCTCTTCAGTTCTGCACAAAGGCAGCCGTTGATAACTCGATCCTCATTAGTTGATAGAAATCGCTCCAGTAATCATGATTATGTATTATTTTCAATCAGGCGTTTTCTACATCTGCGAATAATTGCTGGCAGGGCAATTTGACGCCAGCTTTAGTGACATCATGTTAAAAGCACAGTGGCAAATGGGTGGATAGGATTGTCTTTGCAAAAGCACTCAAACTGCACAGAGAAATGTATATGTAAGTAAATATTCTTATAGTCAGAATTGTGTAGAGCACCCCATTTTGACAGTTTATGTAAACAAAGTATGAAAGATATTAGTTTCATGGAGAAATCTTCAAAATACACTAAATATTTTTGTTGTTGCAAAAAGCTTTTCATTTAACCAATAATGTTTATTGGATTGTAATAGATTGTAATACATTGTCATACAGCCCTACATTAGATTATTACATTTCACCTTCACTTCCCACAACTTATCGACAGGTAACGGCAACAGCCTGAACATAACATGAAAATAGACATAAGTCATATTAACACTGATATGAACACGTCGTTAAAAAGTGAATGAGCCATTACCTGAGAAAAATTACATGGCTATGCACTGTAATTTTGGTGTGCGTTTTTTAACTTTTGCCTGACGAGTTTCTGACAACTACTTTCAGCCACTTATTGGAATTCACTCACCCATGCAATTAAGAAAACAAAAAAAATTACACCAGCTTTAATGCAGCAGCTGTAATCATTAACCGGAGCACAGCCGGTCCCTGGGCTTCATGGCATTTGCACACCGGTCCGTGGATGCCAAAGCTCGTGCGCACCAGCCCGGTGACTCGTGTTTTATGTTCACGGTGAGGGGTTTTATAGACTTCAGACTCGGAATAGGGCGCCTTGCTTCAGTTCATTATTTCAAAATTATACCGGTATTACCGCAAACAGTATCATATCGCCCAGCTCTACTTCTATGCAAATAGAAGGTAGAAAAACACATGCTCTGGTCTGTTTAGACATGTCCACAGGTAATTTAAGGGGCACCAGAGAACAGAACGGTGGGTAATGGAAGACCGTCCCCCAGGTTTGATGCTCCGGCCTGGGGTTTTTCCATCAGAGGAGGCCTGCTTTTCCCATCTAAGCTGCAGCTCTAAATCACACTGAGCACCAACGACTGTCGGTGAAGGAGCAGAGACAGAGGGACGAGGACTTGGAACATGAAAATATCCTCCTTAAGTTCCTTATCAATGAGGAAAGGCATCGTCAACTAATGCAAATTAGTATCAAGAGTAACACAAAATAATAAAGTCAGTTCCATCATTAACTGTGGTAACAGTAGTGGAAGTGGCAGGTAAATGGTTTTCTATTTACATCTCTGCTTGTAATAATTAAGACACAATATATATGGCAAAAAGAACATGCTCTCCTCTCTAGCAAAGATTAAAGACAATAGACATTATACGAGTTGAATAAAGTATTATGTATTTGAAAGATTTTTTTTTGTTTCATTCATTTGCCATGTTCATTTCCAGTTTCACAAAACAGATAAATAAATTAAATTGGCAAAAGCTATATCTGTTTGTAGATAATTAGTATGTGTTTCTTCTTGCTCCCACCAATCCAGACATTATAGTGACAACACAACCCTTCCTTGTGCTGCATGTGCCATCAGTAAATGCATGTTTGTGTTTTGAGCTGCCTCTTAACAATGAGATGACTGACGCAGTGTGTATGTATGTGTGTGCGTGTGTGTGCGTGTGTGTGTGTGTGTGTGTGCGCACGTGTGTGCATTTGCGTCCACGTGTGTGTCTGTGTGCATGTAACAAAGTGTGAGTGTGCGCGTATGACTCATGGCAACAGTGATGTCATGGAAGCGGGACCTGGGCTTGACCCCTGCGACGCGTGTGTGCGCCGCGTGCGTGGTGGAATAATAAAGAAAGAGCAATAGAGAGGAGGATAGGGTTACCGCGAGGAGAGCCAGGCTACTGCGAGTTCTGCAGGTGGAAATGTACTGCTACTACGTAAGGGGGGCTGCACAGAGGTGAAAGTATGGTGGCAATACATACAAGTGCTGTATTTAACGATTATTGTCAAACTAGATGAGTAAAACTAAAAGATATTCATTATCATTCCATTGTCTCTGCCAGGATTGTCAGAACATTTTATAGGTGATTAAACATAACATTTTGTTCTTCTTCTCAAAGACGTTAGAAAAATTACCTCATAAAGACATTTCCATGATAGGTGCAAACGTTCCACCTTTTGCCCAGCTCACTGACACTTATTATAGCGGAGTGAAAATGCAGAACATGAGCTTTTTAGGATAAAAAAAATAGTTCTGTCTTGTTGCCACACGTCCAAAACAGCTTAAAACAGCAAAGAGGAGACCAGGAATTCCATGACGTTATGGCTCAGCTGTCGGGTTCACTGGGAGCAGATGTTCAAAAGCACAAAACGAGTCTGACTTAGAAGTCCTCAATGGAACTTTTCAGATGTGGGGCCTGGAGGAGATGTGAAGAGGCAACCCTGCTCATGTAGAGCATGAGAAAGAAAAAACAAAACAGCACATGCTGTATACTGAAATCACAAAACCATTGGCAGTAATCATTCTAAACCTAGAAAAGCTATCTGATGAGAATCTGTGATAAAAAGGAATATATTAATATATAGCAAAATTACAAAAATGTGGTATATCGACCTAAGTCAGTTGAAACAGTACAGTAAAAACAGAAGATTATCAATTATTTTTTTGAGTTGTGTAAATGCTGCTAGGATAATTTTTTTTAACTCAAGTAAGATGAGTCACTGGAGGACGTTGTTTAGAACAATGTTTACATTTTCTACCATAAAAACAGTGGAATCAGGATGGGTCAAATGCAGAGGATGAATTGTCCTACGGGGATTAATAAAGTGTATCTCAAACAGACATTAACATAATTCCTAGTTATCTTAAAAATCCCATTTCACATCCCCTACATATGTTTAGTTTATGTATACAACAGTTATCGATAACTAAAATAGGTGTTGACTCTTGAAAAAAATGTAATTAGTTTAGACTCATCGATTAATTGTGTCAGCTCCATGCAGAGATGAAAATGACAAAAAGATGAGACATAAAAGACAGACGCACAACTGGGGCATTTGAGGAGTGATATTGTAATTCATAGGGAACAAAGAGAAATAAAACATTGCAAGCCACAAAATGGGCCATGACAGAAACAAAACATTGACTTAATAAATTTTGAAGCCTGTAATAAAGTCTGAAACATACAGCTTTAGCTCACATCTCAGTGACTGCGGGCTGAGGTCGCCTGGTGCAGCTGCCCAAGTGTTTAATATAAAAGACGACCGCAAAAAAACAAGATCGTGTCCCTGCGTAACACCAGGCAATCAGCTCCCTGCTCTGGCCTGTCGCCCTCTGGATCTGTGCTGCTTCACTTCCTGTCCCCGTGTGACTTCTCCTCCTGTCGACCGGATAACTGGCCATCGCCAAACTATTTTCTCATACAAGTGAATCATTACCCTAGCTCTCAGATAGCTCTTCCTTGCAAGTACGAAATACTTTACGACGACACAGACTTTTGTCATATCATTTGTACTTGTTTGAGCTACTGTGTCAAGTATTTTGCATATGGATCAATAAGAACCTACAGATGGAGGAAAGAAGGCTGCTGCTGGGGCTCATGATTGGTGGAAATTAAGATAAAAAAAAGTAATGGACTGGATTGATACTGGCAAATCCAAATCATGGAGTTCTAATGAGACAGAAGAGGGGAAAATATATAAAAGAGTAGTGATATAAAACAGTATTAGACTTTTTATTGATATTATAGTTTGCCCCCATAGTGCAGTCTGTCCCACAGATTTCAACATAGTTTTGCCACTTTGCTATTCCATCAATAAGGACCTCAAATATTATCATCTCATATATTGCTTGCTTTTATATGTAGGTGAGACAATGTCCATGGTCTGTCTCTGCTCCACAAGGCGGCTCACAGATCCTGGCTGCAGGGACAAAGTGCAAAGTGTCTGGTCGAGCGATTATGTGGAAAAACGCTGGGAAATTGAGAGACTGGGAGTGAGCTGTAGATCAGAAGAGAGACCGAAAGACAAGGAGAAAGGGAAGGATGAGAGGATGAAAGCAGAGAAGGGAGGAGAGGAGCTTAGGAGGATGTGAGGAGGGATTATGGACAGACACACTCCACACAGCTGGGTCTCCATACGACAGAGCGCTGTCAAATCCAACACACTCATTCAAGATAACAATAGCCTCAAAATGGGAGGGGCGCAGTTTTTTAGCTCAGCCCTGTCCAAAATAGAAAGAGGAAGTGGTGACATAATGGCGGCAAGAGGAAGCCAAGTTGTACCATTAAATTCTAAATATAACTTATTACCTAGACATTCAGCTACGACATGTTTGACTCATTTACAAGCCGATTGCGTATATGCATTAAAGTTGTGGTTTTTAGAAAGACTTTATTTAGTACCAAAATTGAA